TAATCGGTATAAATTTTAAACTCAGGTACGTTAATTTTGAATTAATGGTTATTTAAGAGCAACGTACAACATATATATAAATTTTTGTCTTACGTATAAATCCTATATTACGTATCATGGTTTTTCAAAAATTTAGAATTAGTTTCCGTACATTTGGCAGGGACCCGTAAAATTTTAGATATAAATAAATCTAAAATTTCAAGTATCAACCCAAATTTTCTACGTAAAATTTTTAAATTATATCAATTTAACTAAAATTTTCTAAAAATTTCTTTATTATAGTTTTATAACTAAATTATTCATATACTCATCTATATCGTGTCTGACATAACAATCCCGTGCCAATGGGTTGTTATATAATAAAGATCCATAAAAATTAACCAATCAAATGAATTTCCTCCTAGAGCCCTAAAAATAAATTGATACGTATACATCTAATTTTTGTTTACCTGTTATATTACTTATCTGTTATGGAATTAAACGACCACTTTTTCCGTGAATCTTTTATTTCTTATATTAAAACTAAACCTCTTCTGCCAAAACTCGAAGATTTCTTATATCATACACAAAACAACTCAAAATAGAATCCGTTCTTGTCATAAAAAATTAGCACATAAAACCTTTTTTACACAAATACAAATTATAGCATCACTTAACAAACAATCGTCTAATATAAAACATCAATATGAAAAATACGTGGACTACCTTGATAAAAAGAAATTAAGAACTATTAACGAAAATGTAAGAGAAAATATAATTTTTACAAAATTAAATTTATAATAATGATTAAATATACGCGTAAAACATTAGCTTTTATCATTAATTTGTTTAACTGCTTCTAACAAGAAGAAGTTTATTATAACTTGTTCACTGCAATAATATTTGAATCAGACCATTAATTTGCTTTGAATTTTTTTCATATATTGTTTGCTTTCAATAAGTTTTGTACCTGTTATAACTTGCTTACTGCAATAATATTTGAATCAGACCATTAATTTGCTTTGAATTTTTTTTCATATATTGTTTGCTTTCAACAAGTTTTGATTTTCAGGCCATTAATTTGCCCTGAATTTCTTTATTAACAGGTTTAGGCCATTAATTTTTTTTATTGACGAGCTCAGGCCATTAATTTGCCCTGGATTTTATACACTGTTTGCTTCGCTAATCCGTTAGGATAATTGTCTAGATAATTATGAATTTAAAAAAAAAACAATATTTAAATAGGTTTTATATGAATTTGGTTGGCTAATTATTTATTTATTTGAATTTTTGAGGTTCCAAATAGCCATATTCTACAATTCGGGTAGATATCGTACGTCGCGAAGATAACGAAAGTAGCAAAAAATGATAAATATATTTTTATTGGTGGTTAGTTAATTCGATAAGTAATCTATTTCAATAAATTTCAAGAATAAATATACTTTTCCTGGAAATTTTTATATAAGCAACTCTTAAGGGCGCCAAAATACCTTATACAAAAGTATTATTTGTTGTTATGTTTCGAATAATCTAGTCATGCCACATTCTAATGTTTTCTTAGAATTGCTCTTCATTAAATAAAAAAAATCAAAATTTTAAAATTTTAAATACAAAATAACAAAAAAAAATCCTCACGAAGATGCTTTTTAATTTATCCTCAATATTGTGAGGGTTAGATTACAAAAATCTATCACCTTCGTATAATAAATTCCTATTGAAAAGTGGTACGTACGTATTCGTTTACCTATACTACGTATCGTGGCGGTGCGCCACATTGTTCACGTGCTGGTGAAATTTTGGTAAGATCGAGATTTGAAAGGACGATTAACATCCCTACGCTAATCTAATCGAGAAAATGTTAATATGTCAGCCCAAGACAATTTATCAAAAGAAGCTACTATAACACAGTTATTTAGTGATGCAGAAAGAATAATAAATCAAGGCGAATACGCCAAAGCTCTTAAATCTATAGATAAAGGTATGCCAATTTTAGGTTGCTCTTTAAAATTTTTATTTCAACATTCCTAACTTTTTGTGTCTGATATCCTTTGAATAGTTCTCAATTTGAGTCCAAATGACTTTGATGCACTTCATTGCAAGGTTATAATCTTTCTTAAGCTTGGAAAATATCAAAATGCCTTAGATCTTGTTACGAAAAGCTTTTCCGAAGATCAACTTCCACTTGAGCGGGTATACTGTCTTTATAGGCTAAACAAATTTTCTGAAGGAGCAGAACTTCTTCGTAAATACCGAACTGCTGGGAATAATGATAGTGGATTGAGACACTTGGAAGCACAAGTGGTTTGCTATCCTTTTTTTTTTTTTCATGTTATTTTTTGTATTGCATCGGTTAACCAATATTTTTAATGATTTTGATGTTTTAAATAAGGCATACAAGCTTGAAGATTATAATTCCTCTTTAGAAACATATTATAGTCTTATACAGGAGACAGACGCGGTACGCGATCTTGGTTTTTCAAATACAATAGATAGACCTTTTTATTTAAATTATTTGCAGAAATTTTCAATTCAAAAATTATTCAGAAAGAAGATACGTATAATGATGTTTTAACGAACTTTAATGCTGCTAAAGCTGCATTACTGTTTTCTGGTGGTAAAGTAAAGGAAAAGGTACGCATTTAATTACAGAAATAAATAAAATTTTTGCATATATATAATAATTAATAAAAATAGTTTAAAAATATTTTTAGTATGCAATGGCGGATTCTGTCAATACTTATGAATTAGCATATAATTATGCTTGTATATATCTCGGGCGAAAAGATTTTAAAAAAGTAGAAAAATTGTTGATTACTGCAAGAAGTATAGTAATTTTTCTTTTCTCAATAAGATCGATAAATTTTATATTAAATTAGTAATTATATTAGAATAATATTTATAGATATATGCCGAAAATCTTTAAGTGATGATGATTATAGCGAAGAAGAGATTGAACAAGAATTAGGCACAATCAATGTACAATTAGCTTATTTGTACCAACTTCAGGGTCGGACAGCCGAGGCCATTGACCTTTATCAAAGTGTGCTCAAGTTTAAGTAAGTCAAACAATGGAATTGAATGTGTTATAATCAATTAGAATCACTTAAAACCAATTAAAATCAATTAAAAGTTGTTGATTTCATTTCTCAATTTGTAGAGGGACAGATATGACAGTTTCAGCTATTGCATCTAATAATTTAGTCGCAGCTAAAAAAGACAGTGAATTGTTTGATTCTGCTCGTAAATTAAAAGTTGCAAGCGCAAATACGTTGGATACTAAATTGTTTAGAAGTCAACGTCGCATAATCGCGATGAATGAAGCATTGTTATTATTGTATATGCATAAGGTCGGTTTATATTATTATAAACTTCAATTATTCGTTACTATCAATTATCAACTTTACAAAATTTTACTTCAAATTTTATTCATTTAGTATGCCGTGTGCCAAGATGTTTCTCGTAAACTGTTAGAAGCTTATCCTGAAAATGATGATCTTTATCTCATTTTAGCTTCAATACCTTACCGTCAAAAAAAGATTACCAAGGCTATCCAAGAGCTACAGGAATTTACAAAGTTAAAACCGGAATCTTTATCTATTAATTTTGCACTCATGCAACTTCAACTTTTACAATCCAATCCTACAAGTGCTTTAGAAACGCTTGAAAATCATTTATCATCAATTAAAGATGATGCAGGAAAATATAGACCTGGATATGTAGGATTATTAGTATGGCTTCATGAAAAAGTTGGCAAACCTGAAAATGCAGTTCGAGCTTTAGATCAAGCGGGCACATTTTGGAAAAGTGGAGTTATGGTACGAAATTTTATTCAAAAAGCAAGCATTAAAATTTAAAATCTTTACTAGAAACGCTGATATTAAAAATTTATTCATGATAGTCTGATGAAAGTAGGTCAATTCTCAAACAAACGGCTGCATTTAAACTAAAGACTACTCGATATCATGAAGCGGCCCAGGATTATGAACAGCTTGTAAAGGGTGACCCATTAGACATTCAAGCACTAGCTGGACTTGTAGCGTCATATTCTCAATATGATATTAATCTTGCTGAAAAATACGAAAGTTCTTTACCAGATGTTAGCGTACAAACGGAAGTTGACATAGAATCTCTTGAAAAAGTTGTACCCGGTGTGAAAAAAAGCTACATCAAAAAAGCAGATGTAAAAACAATGTAATATCATATAATTCTGATTTTTTTTTTTTTTTTTTTTAATGCTTATTTTTAAATTATAAACAATTAGCGAGAAACAAACAAAGACACCACCGAAAAAGAAGAAAAAGCGTAAACCTTTGCTACCAAAAAATTATGATCCCGCTGTACCGCCAGATCCTGAACGTTGGTTACCTAAACGTGAGCGGTCTGGTTTTAAAATAAAGGGTAAAAGAAAACAGCAATTAATGAAAGGATCACAAGGAGTTGCAATTGCTGGTGGAGGTATAGGAGGTACAGGAAGCGCTAATATTGCCGGAAGGAGGTTTGTTTTAATTTATTAAAATGAATAATAATATTATTATTATTTACTGGTTAACTATGAATTTTCTTTAATGACACTAATGTTGGGCTTTTTATTGTAGCACTAGTAATGTATCGTCATCCGAAACAACTGCTACATCACAACCAGAACAGCCTGCACCTGCACCAACGCCAAAGCCGAAAGGTGGCGGTGATAAAAATAAAAAGAAGAAAAAGAAGGGAGGTAACAAGTGGTAGTTGTAATAATTTAAATACACCTATTTCCTTCTTTTTCCTCCTTTTATTCTTATCAACATTTAGTTCCTAAAAAGTTGGATTTTTATATGATATGGAACAATAATGATCAGCTCATGAATCATATATGTAATTTTTTGAGTTGTTAGAGTGTGGATGATTTTTTTATTTTATTAATGTATTCGTAATAATTCTTGAATAAAATAGCAATTTAGTTGCCAATCTTCTTAATATCGAATGCTGTGCTAAATTTACTATTTATTATTCGATTGTATTTGACAATAAATTGAGAATTTTACGACTCGTACAGATGAAGTGCCTCAAATGATTGTGTCGGATGCAGTTACACCTACCAGCCCAGCCCATGGGCATGGCATGTTCACGAACCCCATATCGTCCACTATATGTACCCAATCCCGTAGAATCAGCTTGAAATTCGGTGGCAGTCTT